GAAAAGTTGAATCTTCTCCTTCTTCTGGAAATCCAAGTCTGGATGACAGGGCCTTGCTGGAGGATTTGGAGAAACAGAGGGCCATGATCAAAGCTGAACTTGACAGCCAGTTGATGGAGGGAAAAGTTCAGTCTGGCATGGGTTTGATCCTTCAGGGGTATAACTCTGGATCTGAAGAGGATGGAGATGCAAGGTTCAGAAATGGAGAACCACGACAAAGGGGCAGCTCAGGTAAACCTATATCACCCAGAGGAGGAAAAAGTGGCAAATCTAGACGGGACTCAACAGAGGGCAGTAAGTCTAGCTCCAAACGCCGTAGTCGGAGTAAGTCTGCAGACAAGCTAGTCAAGGAGTCTAAGCAGGACAAGGTGACCAAAAGCACCAAGGACACAGGTGTAAAAGACAGAGGGCGTGGAAGGAGCAGGTCAAAAGACAGGAAGGGTTCACACAGCACTGATAGGTCCAAGGAGAGAAGGAAGTCCAACTCTCCTTCCAGCTTCAGGGGAGAGCAGAAAGTCGGCCGCACTGATAAACGGTCCTCTCCGCAGCGGGATGACAGACCCAACCAGGAAAGAGTGAGCCGACGGTCCAGATCACCTGGACGAGAACGGCCAAGTCGCTCAGACGCTGACCGGGACAAACGGCCAGCCAAGTCACCATCCAAGGACACTTCTTTAGGAAAGGAAAACCGCTCCCCTCATAGACGAGGGGCTCACAGCCCTGCAAGGAAACGCAGCGCTTCCCCTCGCCATAGAGATGCCCGCTACCCTTCGGCTAGTGCCTCAGAAAGGACATCAAAACAGAGCCACTCTCCATCCAGAACTAGGTTCTCGCCCCAGAGACGCCGTAGCCGCTCACTAGAGGTCAGGAGGCGAGATGCTGAGAGACAGGAATCACCACTGAGGTTAGTGCACACCTCTGGCTTTTCCAACGTTTCCCATAATAAGCTGATTGTGACAGATGACAGAATTACCTTTAAGTTTCAGATGAATAAAAGTGAGTTTCCAAAAATGTAAAATATTTGAGTGTTCATTTATAAAAGCTAAAGATTTTCTATTTTTTTAAATATATTTTTTAAACTGGAAGATATATTTAACTTAGTTTAAAAGTTGCGGAGAAAAAAAGTCATGAAGGTGCAAAAGTAAAGTTATGACAGATTTTGAAATATTATTTTTTATGTTCTTCCAGGAAGCGCTCTCGAGCAGATGTTGGACCAGGCAGAGACCGATCGCGTGATAACAGTCCGAGATCATCGTCTCGCCGCAGGATGAGTCGCTCGCCTCTAAGACGACGGTCCCCATCGCTGCGCCGCCGCTCCCGCTCTTCCCCCCGCAGACGGAGCAGGTCTCCACTGAGACGGAGGTGATGGCCGCTCACTTTTCACTCAACTTGTGTACATGTGACAGAAGACATTATCCCAAGTCACAACAAAGCAGTTCTCAAAAGTCGCTGGAGAACTCTTGTGTTTCTCTAATTAGTTTTTGGTGGTTCAACAGTTGTGTAGATATGAATTCTGTTTATATCCCTGTCTGCTAGTAGCTTTTCCCCCTCTTTTCTTTTTGAAGTAAATAATGATTCCCGTCATCACGTCTGTGCCTCACAGGTCTGGGGAGAGAGACCGATATGGTCGACTCCGACAGTATCGACGCTCAACGTCCCGCGATCGGGAAAGAAGACGACGCAGCAGAGATGAAGACAAGTTCAAGGGAAGTCTCTCAGAAGGCATGAAAGTCGATCAGGAGTCCTCAGAGGAAGAAGTGTAAGTAAAAGTGATATAAAAACTAAGATCCGATCGGGTTCGCCATACAGAGTTCAAATTTGCTGTGAAACGGTGTGGTACAACTTCTATGCAGCCATTCATATCAACTGCTTTTGGTGAGTTAATGCTGGCACTAATGAATCAAAACAAAGTTGAGTCCTTAACATTTGTAGATATTGATTAGAAGTAAGACAATTTTTACCATCTCGTCTTTGAGGACGTTCATGATCTGTAGCTGATATGATATCCTGTTTCACATTAATGCATCAGGGCACTTAGTCGTTAACAGGAAAGTGTTTCCTTTGTAATTTTAATTTCTGGCATGTTTTTGCAGTTTGGAGGATTTTGATGGTGAGGAGATAGATGAAGAAGCTCTCATTGAGCAGCGCCGGCAACAGCGTATGGCCATCGTCCAGGTCTGTTTATACCCACGCTAATTCATGTCTGGCATTTTTGTAACTTCTATAAGTGGATTTGATGAGTGACCTTCTTACAAACATCAGCTGTTCGTTCCACCTTACAGAAGTACAAAATCGTGAACGAGGACACCAATCAGACGTCGGAGCCCAGCAGCCCCCAGAGCAGCACGCGTAGCCGTTCGCCCTCACCCGATGACATCTTGGAGCGAGTAGCCGCAGACGTGAAGGAGTACGAGCGCGAGAACGTTAACACCTTCGAGGCCAACATCAAAGCCAAGCACAACCTCATCGCCCAGGAGAAAGATGGTAATGTTCCAGTCAGAATGATGACTGTTAGCATACAAGGCCAACTGAATGAACCACACTGTCAGCTGTGAGCATCCTGGTTGGCTGCAAATTCAGGGGATCTCTTTAAAATAGTCTAATGGATTATAGTGGGAGGAGATATGTTCTTTTCCTTCTCCCTGTTAGCATGGAGAAGGACTTTTGAATCTCTTAAAGACTCTTGTATGTTACCCTATTACCTGCTTGTCACAATAAGAGCAAGCAGAAGCCTTTGAGTTTTTTTTTATTGTTATTTTATTTATGTTTTTTAGTTGAAATGTTATTTCCAGAACTACTGCAGAGGTTGAAATCTACCTTTTCGCACCTGGCACTGGCAGGTGTTTTGGCTGATCTGAGCATAAGTGGAAAGCTTAAGCACAGAAGTGAATGCATTCAGGACACAGTAATGTCTGATTGCTTGAACTGCAGGAAGTCTGTGTGTGTTAGAGCCACTTGTTTTTAGCAGCGTGTTCTTTGATGTGTCCTTGGCCATACTACAGCACTGCATACTGACCTGACATCCTACAAAGTATACTCTCTTCCTTTATGCGCTACTGAATTTTATTATAAAGTTAAACAGGCGGAATGAATGAATTAAAAGTGTGAGACCCCGTCTGTATTGTTTTGATTCTGCCATAGCTAACATATGAAATGCATTGCATTTCCCACCAGTTTAAATCAACGCATTTGGTCTTTGCGAATGGCAATGCTGTTTATTTTTTGTTTTGCATATGAAGCGGAAGAATCCAAATTTAAATACCAGTGACCGCTGAAAACACATAACAAACACAGAGCTCGTTTAAAACGGTCAGTTTTAGGCCAAATACAAACGTGCCTTCATGTGTTATCTTAGCAAAAAGGAGACAGCTTGACCCAGGTAACGACAGACTGTTCTGCGCTGTCCTTCCTTTACTTCCACCCCTCACTCAAGCCTTTGAAATTTTTCTGAAAAGAGATTTGAGTCGCTGCCTGTGCCCACTTGTTCACTGAAGAGCACAGTCTTCTGTGAGCATGGCGGAGAGATGAAACCTAACAGTTAAAAGCTCCTTCTGTCAGAGATGGCAATCTTTTGGACAGTCTGTTCCCAGTTTTCTGGCTGTGATTTTTGTTGAAAGCAAAATGGCACTTTTCAGGGTTTTTTTTCTTTCTTTCTTTTGGTTTTGTCACGGTCCCTTCAGCAGAAATGAATCAAATCAAGTTTATAAATGTGAAATGTGATTAAAAAGCGTTTTTACATTACTTAAAATTGGAGCTAGGACGCTGCATTAATATTGCTTCCTTGCAGTTTGGAACAGTTTGGTATTTTCATTTTAACACAGGGACATGTTAAAAAACGTCCAGTACAGGAAGTACACATGTCTAAAAGGGTATTTAATGGCTCGTTTGTGTGAGAAATGCAGCGTTTTGTGATGCAGGGATTTTAATTTTGTTTCTTTCTGTCATGTGTTCATTCAGTTGCTGGCTTGTAATCCAAAGCCTGGTGTCTCTGCCACCTGCAGCATGTTTTGATCTCTGCAGAGTATGTGAATCAAACACAAGTTCCAGATATACTGTTTTTTACAACATGCTGAATGAGCAGAAACTCATCTTTTGCTGGTGTAATTTGTTGTTGTTGTTGTTGTTGTTGTGTGTCTCAGGATCTAACCCGAAGAAGCCTTCAGCTCCAGACATGTTTACCGAGTCAGATGACATGTTTGCTGCAGACTTTGACGTAAGTATTTAAATACTGAGCTCAGTAGGGCATCTTAAAATCTTCACTTATTTTTAATTTGTGTCTTTGTGTCGTTCTTTAGAAGAGTGTAAATTATTGAGGCACACCAGTGAATTACTGACCTCTGTTTTTTCATGATGTTTCTGCAGAGTGCCAGGATGAGAGCAGCAGGTGTAGGAAAGGACTTCAAGGAGAACCCCAACCTCAGGGACAACTGGACTGATGCTGAGGGTTACTACCGTAAGTGTTTCCTTTCTGTTAACTGTAGGTTAAGGTGAAATTTTATGCTTGTTTAATGTCACCAGGAATGAAGGTTGTAGCCTGTTTGCGTTCGTCACACATCAAAGTTTGTTTTTAAGTGCAACGAGAGACTTCATCTCAGTCATTTTACACATTTGTAAATTGTGTTGTTGTTTAGGAGTGAACATCGGGGAGACGCTGGACAAACGTTACGACGTGTATGGCTACACTGGACAAGGTGTGTTCAGCAACGTGATCAGAGCCAGAGACACTGCCAGAGCCGGCCAGGAGGTGGCAATCAAGATCATCCGAAACAACGAGCTCATGTGAGTCTTCCCATGAATGCCAGCATTTCATATGTGAAAGTTATTGATCTGTTTAAATACCGTAATGGCTTCACTCCTGACAAGATGTATGTTTGAACAGGCACAAGACCGGTTTAAAAGAGCTGGAATTCCTCAAGAAGCTGAATGACGCTGATCCCGATGACAAGTTCCACTGCCTGCGCCTTTTCAGGCACTTTTACCACAAGCAGCATCTTTGTTTGGTGTTTGAGCCTCTAAGGTACTCAGAGAGAGGACATCACATTCATTTTCATCATATTTTGAGAGGTGTGCTTTTCATTAATTACCTCAGCATAATTCATGAGTTTGTAAATGTTTCATTTGTAGCATGAATTTGCGAGAGGTGCTGAAGAAGTACGGTAAAGACGTTGGGCTTCACATCAAAGCTGTGCGTTCCTACAGCCAGCAGCTCTTCTTGGCTCTCAAGCTGCTCAAACGATGCAACATCCTCCACGCCGACATCAAGCCAGATAATATCCTGGTATGACTCAAATGCTCAGTCATCTTAAATCGGCTCACAGAATGAGCAAAGTAATTGTGCCACATGTGACTTCTATTCATGTTTTTAAAAGGTGAACGAGTCAAAGACCATCCTGAAGCTGTGTGACTTTGGTTCGGCGTCACATGTTGCTGACAATGACATCACACCATATCTGGTCAGCAGATTTTACAGGGCTCCAGAAATTAGTAAGTACCACTATTTATTCTTTTCTTTAAATGTTCACAATTAATCAGCTCTTTTTTAAATTTGAAGTTTGCTCATAATTTCTTCCTCAGTCATAGGAAAGCCGTACGACTATGGCATCGACATGTGGTCCGTCGGCTGCACTCTGTACGAGCTTTACACAGGCAAAATCCTGCTTCCCGGATCTTCCAACAATCACATGCTCAAGCTGGCTATGGACCTCAAGGGCAAGATGCCCAACAAGGTGAAATTGCATCATATCATTTCAGTTCCTTTAGTGATTGTTTCCCCTTTTCTAGATGAAGGGAGATGTGTTGCTCTACTGTGCACTGTTCAAGACGACTGATGCAATGTTTTGGATTCTTTCCACAGATGATCCGTAAAGGATTGTTCAAAGACCAGCACTTCGATCAGAATTTGAACTTTTTGTACATTGAAGTAGACAAAGTGACTGAAAGGGTAAGGTGTTCTTTCTTGCCTCTAAACCATTTTTTTAATTTTTAATTTTTTAATTTTTTTTTTTTTACATGTCCCTCTATTTTAATAGCAGTTTTAAAAGTTTTATATTTTTGTTGTTAAACGCCTTTAGGAGAAGGTGACAGTGATGAGCACCATCAACCCCACCAAAGACCTGCTGGCAGACATGATAGGAGGCCAGCGGCTGCCTGAGGACCAGAGGAAGAAGGTAATGCAGCTGAAGGACCTGCTGGATGGAACGCTGATGCTGGACCCAGCCAAGCGCATCAGTATCAACCAGGCTCTGCAGCACCCCTTTATCCAGGAGAAGATCTGAAACGCTGAACGCCACACACTCCCAGAGCAACACAGACAGAGCCAACCACTAAACCTGCTCTGACGGGAACTCTGCAGTGAGGCAGCCAACTCACAGACTTCTGTTCTGAATGTCATGGATTATTTTTTTTCGTCCTCAGCTTCATTTTGTTTATGGATGCATAATTGTGTTTTATTGTAAATAGATCATTGAAATGGTAGCCATTCTTGAAAACATAGGGTTTTTTTCTTTTTTTTTGGTTTTTTTTTCAATTGTCACTGTAAACTTTTCCCTGATATCCAATGAGTTACAGTTTCCTTTTTTAATTTAACTGGCATCGGAGAAACAGATGTTTAAAAGAAAAATATGATTCCTGTAAATACTGTGTATGTCTATTGCATTAACAATCTCGAGCAGCAGACAGTTGAATTTTGTCGTAGTTGCAGACGTCCTAACATAAACACACCTTTCCTCTTTTATAACCACATTGCTCATTGTGGGGCGATGCATGCTTTTGAATGTGCACCCTTTGTGCTATAGATTTGCGTGGTGCAGGCCTGTAAAAATGCTCTGTATGTGCATCAGTGTCCCACATGTGACGACGACAACCTCCCCGCTCCACCACTAACCAGTCCTCGGGCCTCGAGGTCTGAGCTGAAGGAATAGATGCATATTATGAACTCCTTACAAAAAGTTTTTGTTTTGTTTTTTCTTAATTTTTAAAGCAGGTAGTCATTGTTCTCTGTTGCCGGTCGATTCCATTTTTAACCTTCCTCTCCCTCCAGCACTCTGGCTAGGTCGTGGCTCTTAAGGCTCTCACATTCAAGTGCCTCCTGTACGAGCCTAGTGTGTTAAAACACCAAACAATGCTGGCCGATTGAAGCCAACCCCACCTCTCTCCCACTGTTGTATATAGTCCATAGTTACTGTCATTTCATGTATGATTTGTTTTGTTTCAAGTAAGTGGTTTAAAAAAAAATCTTGTGATTTCAATAAAGAATAGTTGTGGAAACGCTGCTGAAAGAGCACCTTCAGTATAAGAAGTTTTTAGTAATAAAATGTTTCCTATTGTATACCAAACACCCTTTCTTCATTTGAATGTGATGTAGCACTGTTTAGCTTGTTTATCCATAAGTTTAATGGCTTTTCTGGTGTAGAGATGCATGAACAGATTTGAGAATGGAGAGGGGGGGTGTCTTACTTCACAGGATCCTCCGTCTCCGCTAAGTGAACTCTTAAGGATGCGAAGGGGGTGTTGGAAAAGGTGGCAAGTTTCTTCTTTTTTTTTTTTGAGAGGGAAGGAAAAAATTGTTGAGACAGCCGCAGCCTCGGAGCATCAAAAGTAAAAGCGCTCCATCTTGTATCCCATTGGAACAATTTAAAGGTCTCTTGCTCTCCCTCTCCACAGTCTAACCGTAGCCTTCGTTCTCGTTGTATGATTGCACTTGTGTCGAGCTCCTTAAAAGCATAATGGGAGTCTCGCTTAGAAAAGACTCCCATTTTTTTTCTCGCTCTGGAAAGTCAGGCGGGGAGAGAGGAGGGGTGCAAGTGATGCAAGATCTCACTGTGCTCACACTAAAAGGACTTCTGATTGGAGCTGATGGGCTGTCAGCTTTAAGGGGTCTGTAAATAGACGTGGGCTGTAGACCTGCTGGCTTTAATCTCAACATAGATGAGGACGTGACTGCTTCTAATGTGAATATGTAACCAAACATGTAATTTATATCCATCAACTTCATGAGCTCCAACCTTACAGTGTAGTCTCTGTTGATGATCAAAAGAGGGCATCAGGAACACTCGCGCTTCTCTGAATGAATTTACTCATGTTGGAACATTGTGTTTACTTTTAATGGCAGAATATTTCCACACAGTAGTCTGAAGTAGCATCAGACTATTTTATTTTGTATCTTGCAGTCTTTTTTTTTTTAATAAACTTGCATAATATTGTTCCTTTTAGTGACTTTGATTTATAGTAAATAGAGGTGGATGTGTGCAGAGTTGCTGAAGTAGCTCGGTTTCTTATCTTGGGTTTGTGTCTTTATGAAAACAGGCACAGAGTTCAAAGCAATACGTTTCATATAATATCAAAACCGCAGTATAAAGAAGGGAAGACACTTAAAATATAATTTCCATTTTTATTAAAACCATACAAACATTTGTAGTCAGTTATAAAAGAGCAAAGTGGCTCTTCTGGCGGAGGGGCAGCGCTGGGCACTTGAAGCTCCACTCTGAGCCAGATCTGCCTGGCCTCTGCCCAGGGCCTGGGAATCCCTGCTATTAAAGTCAGTTCTGTATTGGCCCAGGATATCCTCTGCCCTAGTTCCTCTGCTAAAACTACAGCATGAGTAATGTATTTACATAATATATATATATATATATATAAAAGCACAATAAATGTGAAAACAACAACGGAAAAAAAAAAAGAAAAGTAGAATGCATTTCGCAAATCTCAACTTTTCTGATATTCAGACTTTTCTTATATAAATGTTCTGTGATTTTTCTCTTTTTTTCAGACCCCACAAGACACTTTACATGTTTACTTTTTATTCTTTTCATAATTCACAATGGAAGATTGGCAGTGATCTCTTTCTTTTCTGACAGGCAGATACATATAAGGCACATACCTCTGAAATTTCCTTCTTTCAAAGGGAAACGATTTCTACTTCTTTGAAAAAATGAAAAAAAAAAAAAAACACACACAACAAAACCAAAGAAAGTAAACACCGTCAATGCACAGCTACAAAAATGACCAAAAAAGTACCAAAAAACAGTAAAACAGTTTGTACCTCACTGCTTTGATGCAGAGTAAAAGGTAAACTACTCGATATTCTGTGTGCAGTCACACAAGACTGCAAGGCAATACTAACACTGTTGACAAAGTCACTGCAATACTTAATGGCAGTACACATTCTGAATTTAAGAGCTTTGGAGAGAACGATACGCATGATTTCCTATAAAACAAAACACGTCACTGTACAGCACTTTTCATTGGGAGCGGAAAACTCTGTGTGCTGTGGACCGCCATCAGTTATTAAGACAATTTAAAACCATAAAAAGTACTCAAATCAATCCATGTAAGCATCTTTAGTTTTTTGTTATTTCTTTTTTTTTTCTTAAAAAAAAGCACCAAATCAAGGAGAGAAAGTCCATTTACACATGAGCTTCGAACAACCGTGCAATCCAACGTCAACAAAACAAACAGAATATAAAAACAGTTATATACACTTGTGAGTACCTTACCAGACTAACAAAATCAAGCCATTTAGATATTAAGTAGACAACAATCTACGGCGCCTTGAAGACTCGGATGTGTGGTCCGCGTTTTGGACTCGATACCGTGTCGAGGAAAAACACCACTTGGCAAAACTTGGTAGAAGCACTGAAACATTTACAGCTTCACAAAAGGAACATACGAACAAAAATGTAACAACAAATGTAAATATACCACTTGTTAAAACCTATGATATATAAAGTTGCTTTCGGGGCCTGATGAATTCATGACCCGTGTCTCACTTCCTATGATGACAATGGATTCATCTGCTTTGTACCAGTGGGAGCGGTGCACGACTGATACGTGGGCACGTGGGCTAGTCTATGCACTCGTATAGACAGTGTTAAATGTTTCACTTGAGTACATGCATTTATTTTAATTTTATTTTTTACCGACAGGGCGTACAGCAAAAACAGTAACAATACACAGAATACTGATTCAAGGGCGTGAGCTTTTGCTCACCATCACGTAGTTTTACAAAGAGAAGGGCTTCCAAAAATAGCCTTCATTCCAGAAAAGGAATATAACTATTTATTTATACACAATTTTTGACACATCCCATTTCTGCGTAGGATGACATTTTTACAAAATAAAAAAGCAAGGGCTTGGCAACTGCCTGTTTCGGAACACTTCTAAGTACATAAAGTTCTCATAATTACCGCTTTTAACTTTGTCTTCACATACACCAGAGTTTTTCCTCTTCCTTTTCCTTTATTTTTCTACGGGAGGAGAAAGCAGAGAGAAAGAGAGCAGCTACTGTATTATAGCCAAGAACTTGCTCTCCTCAGCAAGGGTGGTGAGGAGAGAGCTCATATCTCCGATGGCCATGTTGTTTAGGCCGGGGACCACACTGTGGAAGGCAGCAGATGCCCGAGGGGTGGTGAGGCGTGAGGAGGTCCTGGACAGACCCTGGAAGACGGTGGGACTCAACGCTCCTGAGACCAAGCTGCCCTGGTCATAGCCATCCTCCAGCATGGCACCGAAGTCCAGACTTACCCCTTCATCTAATACACCGGGAACACTAACGTCCACTGTGCTGGTCACCTGATCCACACCAGGGGAGAGAAGAGCAACCGAAACCCCGTTGCCGCTTCCACCACCTTGTCCCTCAGATGCAGCTATGGAGTCCAACAAGCACTGATCTTCCAGAACATGGAATGTGGAGGCCTTATGATCTGCTGGTTCGTAAGAGGGGCAGTCAACAAAGCCCTGCTCTAAGTATCCATGATCCTGGGACTCCAGCTTCAGCCCAGAAACTTGATTCGCAAGGGAGCAACTCTCGCCACTCCTCTGCAGTTGTGCTTGTTGAGTGACGCAAGATTCGTTTTCATTGGTGCTCCCGGGACTGAGGTATTGCTGGGTTCTGCCCAAGTTCCTGTTGATTGGTGGATGAGGAACATGTACCGGGCGATTGTGATGAAGAGCAGACCCCTGGGAGAGGCTGGGGAGGTAATCCATGGAGGCTCTGCTAAGGATTAGGTTGTTTCCTACCTGGCAAGAGCTGCTGTTGTGCTTCTGATGGAAGTGGCTCTGTTTTTGAAATCCGTTGGAGGCCTGCTCTCTGAAGCCCTGGGGAAAAGGTCCATTGCTGATCTGTGTAAAATTAGGCCTATTAAAGTTGTTTGTAGAGCTTTGACCAGTACCTCTCATTTCCAAGCAGGAGTTAGGTGATGTCTCTAGCTTCACTCCAGGGTTTACGCAGCAAGCACTTTGAGACTGATTAGCTTGGGCGCAACTGTTCTGGAAATCA